AAACGATGAAATATATATCTATCAAACACGTTCAATAGATCAAAATTATTGTGAATTTAATTAGGAAAAAGAAGCAAGAATGTTTTAGTATTACCTGTTACAACTCACTGAATGATTCGGTCGTGAAGTAGATGAGTTGCTACCTCCCCGGTGAAAATTTTATAATGCAAAGAAAAGTACACACTGTTTAAAAGCTTTTCAAGAGGAGACAAAATTGTGTCTACAAAAAGCTTTTATTTATATTGGATCAAACATGTCATGTGCTTCATCCCATTTGTAACAATACGAAATGATTCTTTGATGTTTCATCATCAACAGTGTGTTCGCGTTGCACAGTGTCCACGTGTGAAGGTATGTCGTGTTGTTGAAGAAGACTACAGATGATCTCTTACTCTTTTCTATAGGAGTACCTATGCAGTTAACGCCGGTTTTCGGATTTCATTTGACAGGAGTAGTTGGTTTTCTTCGGCATTGTGTCATCGGGATCTGAGCGTTTCGGCAGGAACATTGGTGATAGTGTAAAATTCGTGTCTCTATCGGGAAGTATCTCAAGTGCAGTGATTCCATCTGATTTTGTAATATTCGTTCGATACTGAGTTTATTCGGATATGGAAAATTCGATGCTTTTTTTACAAATTGCTTCGATTCTGGGAAGTTAGTATGTTTTGGGATGATTCGGCCGATTTTTGAAAATTGATTTACTTTCCGGAAACTCATTTTGGATGGGAAAATCGTTGACTTTTCAGAAAACTCGTACAATACATCACATGTAAATTTTTGTATCTGATGAAGTATCGTATCGCGATACGAAACGTAACAATTTCTAAATTTTAAATTTAAATAAATAAGTAAATTATATATTATCAAATCACATTAAATTGATTTAAATTGTAATAAAATGAAATAAAAGAAGAGAGTTAAATTATGTCAAATATATCAACCTTCTTAAAAAAACAAGAATTGCTTGTGTTTATTTGATTTTCATAAATCATTCAAAATTATCCAATTGAATATAAATTCAAAAAGACTAATAAGACTGAAAAAAATATTCGTAAATGAAATAAAATTACGATAACAAAAACTGTAAGGAAAACTAAATTTTGTGATTCTCATATTATTGAAATATAGACTGTTTTTTTAGCATGAATTACAAATATATTTCTTTTGTTTCAAGTCACACTAATTAGAACCTGTTTATCGTCAAACTTCAATCTTTTTGATTTCCTAATAATTTATAGATTTCACTCAAGATCATATGAACATCGATAGTCTTCATTGTTGCTGTTTTTTTTTGGTAACATCGTTTTATTGATGGAAAAAAGACAATACATGCACATAACAGAAAAAGTAAAACAGTAACAAAACAGCGTACAGTATTGTTAAAAATAAAAGCTGAAAAGAAAAGAAACAAGATGAGACACATGACATTAATCTTTTGTCTCGGAGTTTAGTTTAGTCGTTTCATAATGCTGTGTATGATATGGCGATAATGTGGTGTTCGTAGTAGTGGGTATCACGTTGATTGGTCTTCATTGTATTATCGTTGTTTCATAATACAAATGAAAGTAAACGATAAGAAACAGAAATAGCTGAGTATAGAAAAGTACGAGTCAGCAAATAGATTGACTCATTTCTCGTTATATATGAAACAAACTCTACGTATGCGAGTCCGATATAACAATTTTCATACAGATTCGGTTGACCCAAAAACAGTCACGTTTCTCGAGGATGATATTGTATAGTCGGTTGGTGTTTTCTTTCATGAAATTTTTTCGAGTATATCTTGAAGATGTTTTCTTTCATGAAATTTTTTCGAGTATATCTTGAAGATGTTTTCTTTCATGAAATTTTTTCGAGTATATCTTGAAGATGTTTTCTCGATGTAATATCTTTATTTGCTGTTGCTGTTTGGATGGACTGTTTTAGTAATGTTGTTGCATAATCCTTGATTTTTGGAACATTACTAATTTTGTGAATGTAGTCGACTGATGTGTAAATTGGTAGACCCGGTGCAGCCCGAAGTGCTTTATTTTGCATGATCTGTATTCAGTTCCATACATTATGATCAGCAGTTAATAGTACTGGGTAACCATATATAATGATTGATCGTGCTATTGATTTGAAGATGTTGATCATCGTCCTGCTGTTGGGTTCGTGTACTGTTCTCGATAGATAACGAAGTAGACCGATCCGAGGAGCAATCTTCGTTTCTATATGATCGAGATGTCGTAGCCAATTTAATTGTTTGTCTATAATGACACCCAAGTATCTTGTATGATCCAGTGGTTTAATAATTGTATTATTAACTTTAACTTCCACTGGATGTTTATACTTCTTCCTTGGATGAATCGTGAAGTGGATCATTTCTGTTTTAGTTGATTGCAATTTAAATTTCCATGACTTGCACCAACTTTCGAATGCATCTACGGATTGTTATAATCTGGATGATAGATATGTCATGGTGTTCGATGACGTCCAGTGCTGTATCGTCAGCGAATAATCAATGTTCTGTATGAGTCGGTAATTCATTCATCGAATCTGCAGTATATATAATATATAATAGTGGTGATAATGGAGATCCTTGTGGAGTACCGCTCTTTAAGTTGAATTGTTTGGATAGGACATTTTCGATTTCGATTGATGCGATTCGATTTTCAAGAAATGATGTTAAGTAGTTGATGATGTACGTAGGAAGTCGAAGATCATTTAATTTGTATATCAGACCGTTATGCCATACTGAATCGAATGCAACTTTTATATCGAATAGAATAACCGCTGAGTGTCTTCGAGCACATCGAAGTTGATTCTGAGCGTATCGTTCTAATCGCAGGATGTTGTAAATTGTGCTTTTTCCTGGTCTAAAGTCGGCTTGCTGTTCTGGTAAGATGTCTCTTGGTTCGAGTTCAAGCATTAGTCATTGTTTGATTATTTTCTCCAATAGTTTGCCTAAGCAACTAAGGAGACTAATCGGCCGATAACTAGACGGATGATACTTGTCTTTCTTCGGTTTCATTATAAGTATAATGTTAGCCGTTTTCCACTTCGTTGGAATATAACCTTACTTCAGAATTTGATTGAACAGCTTAGTTAAATGCTCAATAAGTAATTCTGAAGAGTTTTTAAACGCCTATTATGAATGTTGTCTGGACCAGCGGAGCTATTACGAAGTCGTTTAATATGATATTTTACTTCTTCTATTGTAATTTGCTTCCACTTGGGTGTGCTTGAAGAGTTTATGTTTTTCTTCTTGATATTACTTGCTTGGCTTGTTATTTGATCATGAAATGGCAGTGTATCATCAGTGTAAGAGTAGACATCATTTTGGAAGTAATCCGCAAATACGTCTGCTTTTTCTTTATCTGATGTTGCTGTCGTGTTGTTGTATGTCATGTTGCATGTAAAAGTTTGCTTAGTTCTTTTGCTATGGAACTTGCGAACTGTAAGTCAAACTTTGTCAGAATACATTTTTTATGACATAAAGACGACATTAACTTGTTAAGGTTGTCTCTTCTGTCATTTCTAAGTGAGTTGGTTAGTAAGAGTTTGGAGTTGTAATACTGACGTTTGTCTGTATTGTCTCCGGTCCTCTTCCATCTTCGATATGCTTGATATTTCAATGTGATCAAGTTCTTGGATGCTTCACTTAATGCATAACTTTTGCTCGTTGGTGTAAGTGTTGGAACGGCTTCTTTAGTTGCTAACATAATACTATTGGTAATAAACATTGAATAATCTTCTATGTCTAAAGGTGAATTTGGACTAAGACCGTTATTCCATAGTATTAGTTGTTGATCTAATTTGGATCTGAACTTTGTTCATTTGGCTTCTTTAAAATTAAGTGATAATCTTGAAGAAGTTGGTTTTGGTTCAGCTCCAATTTGGATATCGAATGTTAATGGTTTATGTCCATTTATTGTACCGATGGTTGGGTGTGTTTCAACATTTGCTATGAATAATAGGAGTTGTTGACTTCCTAGTATCCAATCTAATTTGGCTTCATATTCATTTTTTTCAAATGTTGTACTATCATCGTCGACACAATCGATAATACCTTCATTTAGTAGTTCTTGCAGCTGTTTTCCTCTTGCATTTGTTTTTGTTGATCCCATTTCAGATAATGTTGCGTTGAGATCACCTACGATAATGCAGTTGTTGCTGATGTTGTATAATTCTTCGAAGATATTGATATCGATCTTAGCTGTTGGTGCAACATACATTGAAGATATCAATATCGATTTANTGGACCCGTTTAAGCTGTGAGGGTTTGGATTATGTTGTGGTTATTGATCAGGCGTTATGGTTTGGTTGGTGTGCGTGTGTTTGAAGACTATAGTTGATTGACGTTTCGATTCCAGAACGCTTGTATGAGAGATTTTTTATGAGGTCCTTGTCGTCGGAATTGGATGGAATCCGGTCAAATATGTGATGAAACCGGCATCATCCGGTAGTCCGAGTGGATCGGTTGCGACAATGTTCGGTTGTATTATCCGGCAGGAAACGACCGGATCATTTTCCGTTGAATTCCGACGGGGTTTCCGGGAGCAAAGATTCCGGCGAAATCCCCGCCGGATCCTGGCAGATTTGATTGGGAATCATGCCGTCTTCTGGTGTTATCCGGTGCTGGTTCCGACGGATTCCGACTGAATCCGGAGGCAGGATGGAGTGACTTGGGTTGGTGCATTTCCAACTTTTCGGGTTAATCGAATAAAATTGATAACATCGAGGCCAACTTTGGTTAGTGCTTCGGTTATTCGATTATCCGGTATGTCAAGGTCGACTCTTTTTACGAAAGCGACCATTATTATTGCTGTTGAAAGATCAATTAAATCTATCGAATAGCATGGGTCGCACTTCCCAAGTGAATGAATCCAATGGGATTTTATTTTGAGACGACATCTATAATGAAACATGATGTTTCTAATCTCAAGAATAAAGATTTTGAGTGGTAATATTCAACTGCTTCGATCAAAAAGAAACACACTTTCATTCAAAACGAGATGCATATAAAAACAAATTTCAGCTACTTTTTCATTGGGCATCGGAAACTTTACCTAATATGGTCACTCGCACACTCGTAGAAGCATTCTCACATATACACACACATATACATATATAGATACCAATATATTTTTTATTCTCATCGTTCAACAAATTCTATCGTTAAAATCACTATTTCAAATCAAATATGCAAGTATGTATCATTTTATATTTTGTATAATCTCACATCCTCCATATATTTCTCGCGTCATAATGATAAATATATTTATTTCCCCCCAAAATACGCAATTCATTACGTTAGATAATTACTGAATAAAGATGACTGCCTGTATTGATATAAACGAACGCTCTAAGAAAAATACTATGTTACAATCATGAAAAAGCCTCTCGATACATGTATATTCATATACTATATTATTCCCAACGAGGAAATTTTGTATAATTCAGAAAAAAAAGAACGCGTATCGATAAATAAAGCAAAAAAACAATTTCTTTTAAACAGGATCCAAACGCTGATACACAATGGAATGATCAATTACGTCGTTTTAATATAATCGGAGAAAAAGAAGAAATCAAAACTGAAGAGGAACGATTTGAAATCGATCGAGGTGAAAAAAATACTTTGGTTTGCTCTTAATTCTACTCTTTATTATAGCTGAACAATTGGATAAGAAAACATTAGATGAATTAGATGAACTTGAAGATGAAGAAGATGAGCGTGTTTTACAGGAATATAGGTAGATATTATTGTGTCTAACTTTCTGTTTGTGTTTAGATTTACTTTTTTTTTTAGACGAAAACGTTTGTTAGAATTACAAGAAAAAGCATCTCGATCTCGTTTCGGAGAAGTTATTGAAATTTCAGCTATTGATTACGTTAAGGAAGTCAATCAAGCTGGCACTGATATATGGGTTGTACTTTATCTTTATAAATCAGGGTGAATATCACGTTTTGATTTGTGAACCGAAAAATGTTATATTTTTATTTTATTTCTAGACTTCCAATATGCTCATTAATTGCTGATCATCTTCGTTCACTTGCTTTGAAATATCCTGAAACAAAATTTGTTAAAAGTATTTCAACTGTTTGTATACCAAACTATCCAGATAAAAATCTACCAACAATATTCATCTATTGTAATGGTGAACTGAAAAATTCACTTATTGGCCCATTCGCATTTGGCGGTATGAATTGTCGTTTTGAACATTTAGAATACAAATTATATGAGTCTGGTGCAATTGAAACAAAAGGCAAACTACAAAAACCTGATGATATGAAAACTTATGGAGTCAATGATGCCGCTGATGATTTTCTTCGATCGTCGATTCGTCAAAGTATGAAAAGCGCAAATGATGATGATGATGATTGAATATTCTAGTTTTCTTTGTCTGTTTTGTTGTTATTGCATGATTTTAAGTTTGCCGTGTGAAACTTTTGTTTTTATTGATCAAACATTTTCTATTACAATATATAATGATTGCATTGTTTTTTTACTCAATACAACATTTTCCTGGAAAACAAACAGATGAACAATACGGTCTGCTGTTGTTTGTAAATAGGTGTGGTTAATATACTTTAGAAAAGAAAATTTTATAAATTTGTACTCAATTACAAAAACGAAGATATGAAATATGTAGGATAAGTTAAAAATTATTTCTTGTTTGATTATGACTTGTCATGATTGGAACCAAAATCGATAAAGACAAACTCACAGATTGTTATCGCTCTGAAACTTTATTTGGAAAATTGTTTCGTAAAATTTTTCTGTCGTAGCTTCAGTTCGTGCAAAAATTAAATGATTGATTTCCCGAAAGAGAACAATCCAAATGCTCTACTTGTAATTTCTTTCATCGTTCAATATGTCTCCCTGGACATGTGCATATCTTCTGCAAATGTCAAAAGTATTAGACGATTTCTTCTACTCAAATATTTGTTTAGACTAATCATTATTTTATTTTTCGTAATACATATAACAGATTTTTTGTTAAAAGTCATGCTTTAGTCATAGACAACAATATTAGAATTTAGAAAGTTTCATTGCCTTACCAACCATCAATTTCATACATAATTTTCATGTTCACTGTCAAGTCTTAGAGTCATTTTTGTTGTTTTTACCACCATACCTATGAAGCAATAAGTGCAGTTTCAAAAGTGCACTCGATTTAATACAGAGCTCGTCATCGCTGGTTCGGTTTTCATAAATTACTTTTGAAATGCCCAAATTTCAAGTTCAGTAGATATTTAATAACAGTTATATCTTCTTGTGTAAAATTCTTGCTAGTATGAAAATCTCTATTATAACTGTGGAATCTACTTTCTTGGTGATTGTCTTACTCTCAATAGTTTTCAAATCTCTTCTAAATTTACGTTTTGTATAGATTACAATGGTCTGAATTCATCGTGAATTCATACTCAGCCGAATATTTTGTTTTTGTCACTAAATATAATCGTAATAATAAAGAAATTAATTATTTTCAACAATGTCGCTTCAAAGTGAATTATATATCATTTAATCAAGCGGTTATAACTGTTGAGACATTTTATGGTAAACAACAATAAAAAAAAGAAAAAAGTTGTAAATTTTATTTAGTGATATGAATGTCACAATAAATAATGATCGAAATTACGTTTTTTCGAACGTTTAAATATTAAAAATTGCTGTTTCAATGCAGCTGATGCACTTGTTGTTTTTATAGTTGAATGATTGTTACCGGAAACATGGTAAACGAGAAGAAAATGAAAGATTCATTCGAAGTTGTTGTTTTTTACTCAATATAAAATCATTTCATTTTTTGACATATGATGATGAAATGAAGAAAAAGGATTTTCTCTATTGCTAGATTGTATCAAAACTTAACAAGTAACTAATAAATAAATCTGGCGAATCTAACCTTTCATCTGTTATAACTTTCAATCATATTTTCTTTATGCGATCTTCCTGTGTCATTAGAATTCTTTTAACTAGTTTGTTTCGTCGGCATAGATTGTTTCCGGTTTCATTAACCTACTTTTGTTGAGCAATACTAGAACTTTACTGAAGAAACCTTCAGTTAGAAAGAAAGAAATAGTCTAATCAATAACGAAATCTGCCGCAGTCTTTTTCTCGAAACACACATTGTAATCAGTAGAAAAGCCAAAGAAAACACAACATTGTTGATCAATAATAATAGTTACCCGTATTAGACTCTTCTATTCCTACGCTCTAATTAATCCTAAATTTTATATGGAATCATGTCAAGCTGTTCAACATATTGAATTACTATAAAAATATATAGCTTTTGTTTCGTATAATACACCTATCACAGTTATACTAGATCAATATTTTGACTGAACCGTTCGTACTATTGTTCTTTATTTTCTTTACATTCGTATGACGTATTTAAATACCAGTCTCAATTATGACGCTGTAGTCTAACCGAACAAAGGGAGAGAAGAAAACATTTAGCGTACGTGTCTTTTTTTAGAAAAATCTAGTCTTGATCTCGATGCTTCAGTTAGAACAATGAATTTTGAAATTGACGTTGAATCTAAAACAATCAAAACTGAATTGGTTGATAAATATTCAAAATATGTTAAAACAATAGGAAATCGAATTGTTGAAGGTTTGAAATAGATTTTCATTTCAACTAAATCGTCGAATAGTTTATTTCAAATTAGTTGAATTTTCTTGGTTTCAAGTAAATCCACGTCAAAGCTATCGATTAAGAATAAATGAACAACAATTCAATGAAGCACAGAAATATGTGCGTTCAAAAAGTAAGCTATATATATAATCTATTGCTTTAAATTAAATAAACTAATTTTTAGAATTAATCAATATTAAATTTGAACAATTTACGGATTTCATAACACCTATTTTTGCAAATGAAGTTTCAGAAGTCAGTAGTTTCGTTTTACGTGCAACTTTTGATAATTTATTCGATCAAAATTCAAATGGAAAAATTGAACAAGAAGAATTTGAGGCAATTTTCTTATTACTTCAAGGTTCTAATACAGATAAACAGCATTTATTACAGGAAAATTTTCGTCAAATTCTGGGTCATCGTACTAAATATATTACATTCAAAGGTATTTAAGAAAGAAAATACGAATATAAAATTTTCTTTTGTTTTTTCCTTAGAATTTCATGATTTTGTTAAATGTGGCTATCTACGTCAACTGTTTATGTGTTAAAATTTTATATTTATAATCAAGGTGTTTTTTTCTCGTTATCTATCTAGTATAAATAAATTTAGAATATTATCTTTTTGTTGGTGTCTTATTTGCATGAAACGAATTACTGCACTGATTATAAGCAGTTTAAATGGTTTTAGTTTGAATATTGTTCGTAAACTTGCTGAACAAGGTTATAATATTGCTCTAAATGAAAATCAAAATGATGATAATATTATTGAAACTATTCAAAAGGAACATAAACAATGTAGAACAATGTATGTGCCAGATAGTATAAAAAATGAAATCGATATACATAATTTAGTTGAACAAATATCAAAACAGTTTCAGCATATTGACATTGTAATTATACATCATGAATGTAAACGACATTACACAGCTTCGATTGATGAATTTCCAACAGAAAACTGGAGAGAAGCTTTTGATTATAATCTTATAATAACTTTTGCTTTAGTTAAAACTCTATGGCCTCATATGAAACGACAGCATTCTGGTAGAACTATTAATATTGTACGTACATATATTGAGTTAAATTAGCTAACATAATCTCTCTCCCTCTGAAATTTGTGGAAAACAGTTTCTCAGCAAAGTTTAACGCTTTCTGGTGAATGTCATGTTAATAGATTCGCCACGCTTTTACAGATTGAATATATTTGCTCGAGCTAAATTATCTTTAGACATACCAGAGAATGTATAAGTCGCCTACTACTTTTATTTGTTTCTCTTTACTGCCTTTCATTTGAATAAAAACATGTGTGGTGAAATTTGAGAGATGCATACTTTTTGTTTGTGTTTATTTTAATTAAAGTTATTTGTGTAAAACCTGAAAGAAGTCAGCGAACAATCATATTTTTAAATGAAAAGAGTAGGTGTTCTAGATACTTTTATTAGGGGAAAGAAGACGTGCAAGTACATATGTATATAACAACGCTAACAATTTTCAATCAAGAAAGCAGTAAAGTTCTCGGGAAAAAAATGCAAGTTTAGTCTATCCGAAGGAAAGCTATTCTATATATAATTTATCTATTCAAATTTGATAAAAAAAATACATTATTAAAAAGCTTGAGGATATGAAAAATAATTTTGCTCGAAAACATTCAAAATTTTTTGGGTGTATCAAGAGTAAGTGCATACTTCCAATGCAAAAAAAAAGCTTTTCAAAATTAAATGTTACTAGGTAAAAATCATTTATCTTCGGAAATTAAAAAAAATACCAAGGATCTCGTCTCTGTAAAGAAGTCTAATTGTTGGGAGGAAAACGATATATTAATTAATTGGCAAATTTTAGGCAAATGAACATAGTACGATTGTTGGTGAATATAAATCAGTTTGCATAACTTCACATTATAGATTACTTGGATTGAATAAAACTATTTCTATTGAAGGTGCTCCATTTGGAATAACTTCTAATATCATTTGTCTAGGCTTGAAATAATTAGAGTTCAAATTTTTCTATTTTTATTCATTATATTTTTTTGTATAGGAAATATAAAAACATCTCTATTCGAGCAATATGATCACATAAAAACATTAGCTGATCTTATCTTATTTTTATCTAGTGATCAAGCTCGTTCAATAACTGGCCAATCAATTCCATGGTGCTTAACACAGTTCTATTTTAATGTTGACGAACGTCTTATTTGCCAATGAGAATAAAATTTGATTAAATAATAATATCTTATGCTACTGATTAATATAAATAATTAATATGGAGTATAATATTTATAGAAATTCAACTATTTTAACAATAATCATCATGCGAAATGTTAACGCTCCATCAATAATAAAGAGTTGTTAGTGTAATCCCAGTGGGATCAAAATGTGGAACACGATGTAGCTAGCTGCACTTTCTATTCATAGGAAGATTGCTTTATTGTGTCGATTTTTAAAGGCGCATCTCTTCACTATCTATTAATATAACCCTCTAGCAAATGCACTAAGAAGTTAAACGAGATGTTATTAGTATACTGTTGGTAGGTAATTTTAATGTTCATCTCTATGCTTTGTCATCGACTTTTAATTGAATTCTATGAAAGACAAGAAAAAAAATCGAAATATTTCAGCAATCATTTGAAGTATGATTTTGTTATCAACTTATTCTTGATTTTTCTTTAAAGGCGTTTACTATCTCGTTTGCAAATGAAATAATGTAATTAGAGCAATTAAAAGAACTATCTCAGAAAAGCACTATTATGAAATGTAACTTATTTTCATAAGATGATAAAAAAAAAACAACGAATATGTAAGGAAGCCAGCCATCCAACTAACAATAATAATTAATCGGAGACGGTGGGAAAATTAAGATTTTGAATGAACTTGAAATCTGTCAATCAAAATAACAATGATGACGATCACTATCTAAGAGAAAATGAAAGTGATTGAAAATAAAAATCGTAAACGCGAAACGTACAGTAGATATGAAATAAAATTATGAAAATCATTGAAAAGTTCAAGTCTTATTTAAAAAGAAAGTACTAGACTACCTATTTCAATCTTCAACCGCCTTTTTCTCATGTCGAACTTATGTAGTCTATCTGTTGGTTATTATTTATTTTGTGATGCGAAAATATTTCTCTATTTATCTTTCAACTGTTAGTTCAAATTACAAATATGTGATCGAAAGAAATTATTATACAGACGAATATATGGTTTCAATGTTGAATTCAGACTTGTAGGAATAATTAAGAAAAACAGATTATTTCGAAAGTTTTTAACAGTGATCATGATGATATACAAAAAGCAAATGTGATAGCTATACGATATGTCTAATTATGTGTCTTTTATTGTCATTTGAAATTTCATAGTGTATAAAAATCGATGGAGTTCAGAAAAAAACGCTGCTGTCAATAGATATACACTTAAAACAGCATGCTAATATTTGTAACTAATTAATTTCTACTATTCAAATGCGAGTTTTCGACGGCATTTTTACTGGCGTTACTATAGATTCTGGCATTTATAACAACAACAAAAATCCATTATTTCTCCCAACCAGAATATCAAGTTGTATGAACTACTTCGCGGGAAAATCTTCTTGCCTGCTTTGAATCTAAGAAAACGAGGGCAATAAACATTTAAATCGTATCTAACCGACGATACTTAAGTTTAGAGTAAATTGAAACTCGCTAAAACTGATCTCACCGTCTCTAATCACATCAATAAAAGAATATAAAAATGTTTTACTTGTCAATAAATACAAATAGATGTTTGAAGTCATCTGGACAGGGTTGAAGTGAAGGAAGAGTCATATTAAACACAATGGAATTTTCAATACTAGAAGCAATAGAAAATAACAACATCAAAATTATAAATCCCTATATTAATGATTGACTTGACGATTTATTGATAATAGCTAGTAATTTAAATCTAATTTTCATTAGCATCAACATCATTAAAACAAATTTTATGTCACTATGAAAAATATTTTTGCCCATAAATTCGTACAAGATCTATTTATTATTGTAACTGACTAATGTAATCTATTAAATTGTCATTATCTCGATGTTTTGTTTTCATTCACCTTTGTGATACATTATGACTAAAATAGAAACATGATACTTCTTAATGATTTATTGATGTATTTGTAAAAAATACAAAAATATCCCCTGCATCCTAGAAATTCTTTTCGACCGATGACATCAAAACGAGAAATTTCGAGAGTCCTTGACCTCTTTCTTCATAAATAATGACAAATATCTACAATCGCTTATAAGAAATATTCATCATAGCTAGATAATTTTACATTGAAATTCTTTAGCAAAAGAAACTTTGTTAATCATAATTAATTCCGAGAGCTCTTTTTCGTTTCCCTACAGATTGATATATTGAACTATCGATTAATCTACGATATGCTATTTTTAAACATTTCTTCTGAATCAATAAACATCAAATTATAAATAGATTTTTCATTCAACTAATTAAGTTTGATTATTATGCTTTGATAATTATTAATTGTATCGTGCTAAAGAACAATAAGAGATATCGACAAAATCAATTCGTTTTCTTATCTTCGTATAGTTCAATCAAAGTCAGGATTATTAAGAGAGCATCCATGACAGCACCGAGGAATCGGAGCACTCAATAAAATAAATTTTTGGTTTTTTTTATGCTCATTCTAAAGATCAAGGTTTAAAACTACTAACTTGAAAATTTTAGCGTCTAATACCTTTCCTTCGAAAAGTTAGTCAGAGACGACTTTTACCACCCTCACAATTTTTCAATATAAAAAATTTCTCCACCAAACAACCCCGTCTCATGCATCAGAAGATTGTTCAAATCTTTAGACGAATATTTCTGAAAGATAGCCCATAGATAGGTGAATAATACTGGATATTTTAGGTATTGGATGATATTCTTTTATTGAGGTTGCAAGCATCAACAAGTATAGGATGTGATAAATTTTTTTAGTCTATTTTTCGAGGTATATTTGATCTAATCTTTCCAAATAAGGAGACCCCCAAGCTGAATTTCGGATATTTCATGTAACTTTTAATTCTACACAAAATTGCATAGAACTTTTTGAAAAAGAATGATATGTTCGATCCGAAAAGTAGCTAACATTTTCGATACGGTAGTGAAAATCATGAAAATAAACGACATGTGACCAATATTAGATATCATCGATTCGCAAAAATTTTAATGTAGAAAAAATAAGATTAGTATACTAAACCGTTTACCATAGTTATCTCGTTCTTAAACACGAAACAAAATTTTCAACCTTATCAGACCCCCTGGAGTAGTACAGGGATCTGTTGAAAATTTCGAAAAATATTTTTTGTCATACAATCGAATGATTATAGTTTCAGATGAAAGAGTTCGAAAAACTGATCAAAATCAAGTATTAAAAGCTAAACTTCAAAGGGGATATTTTTGAAGGCAGAGTATTTATTAAGCCTCACATTTCCAACTAATATGCCTTTAGATAGGAGTTTTACTAGTGGCTCATCCATAGTAAAATTGCAGCTAACGCATACCGTTCCATACACAGTTGTAATCAGTTTTTCAAGCTCTTTCATCTGAAACTATAATCATTCGATTGTATGACAAAAAATATTTTTCGAAATTTTCAACACGGTTTAGTATACTAATCTTATTTTTTCTACATTAAAATTTTTGTGAATCGATGATATCTAATATTGATCACATGTCGTTTATTTTCATCATTTTCACTGCCGTATTGAAAATGTTAGCTACTTTTCGGATCGAGCATATTCTTTTTCAAAAGTTCTTTGCAATTTTGTGTAGAATTAAAAGTTACACGAAATATTCGAGATTCAGCTTGGGGGTCTCCTTATTTGGAAAGATTAGATCAAATATACCTCGAAAAATAGACTAAAAAAATTTATCGCCACCTATACTTGTTGAGGCATGAGACGGGGTTGTTTGATGGAGAAATTTTTTATATTGAAAAATGGTGAGAGTGGTAAAAGCCGTCTCTGACTAACTTTTCGAAGGAAAGGTATTAGAAGCTAAAATTTTCAAGTTAGTAGTTTTAAACCTTGATCTTTAGAGTGAGCATAAAAAAAAAATTGTTTTATCGAGTGTTCGATACACTGAAGCGATCCTCGGTCGGCTCGTGGAAGCTCTCTTAACAACTTGTAAACAAAATACAATTGATGATCATATAAGTTTTCTTTTGTTCCTGGACGTCGATGAGCTGGATTTTATAATATTCATCAAAACGGAAATAAAAAGAACGCTATCTATAGTTTGCTTGTTATTTTTTTTTTGTCATTTACTCTATTGATTATTGTCAATTCACAGTTTTCCGTTCTTCTTCGATGACGAACTACTTAAAGAAATAAGAAGAGCAAAACAAAAATAACTGTTACAGCCGAGCTATGTGTTAATCTTATCGTTTGTATCAGACACAAAATAATTCTATTATTGACCGACATTAAATATAATCAAAATTATTATATTGACAGTTGTTTTATCGATCATTATTTGCAAATAAATAGAATTGGAATTATATTAAAAATAAAATAAATTACAAAATAATGTATATATATATATCAAATTGATTTTCGAGATTACAGATAGAATAAGGACAGATAAAATAAAAATAAGTAACATGGAACATTTGGGAATTCTTCGTATTAGCAGAAAACCATTGTGTATTATGCGTTATGAGACTAATAGAAGTATAACAAATGTTATTGACTCGTATATGTATGAGTGCTTCGCTCGATTTGTCTTCCAATCATACACCGATAAAACCTACCCGAAGAATATCAATCATTATGTCAGCAATAATTGCATTTGCTGCCATTCTTCAACATTAAAGAGTAACTAACTTCTGTCAAATTATATAAATTTTATATTAATACATGAGAAATTTTACGAAATATATATATTATCAATTTATGTGCAAAAAAAAAACCACAAGAGCAGTAATAACAAAAGTTGAAAAGCTCAAATCTAACTTTCTCTTTCAAGAAAATATTTTTTTATATCTTATTTTATATAGAACGAAAAAAAGAAAAAAAAATAGGAAAATTCATCAATATTAAATGAGTAGGATTAAGTAACATAAACATATATAATGTATATGGAAAAAGAACAAAAACATATTTATGCAAAAAGGGCATTATGTTCTTAGAAATTGACACAAAGCAATTCTATATGTTACATTAACTATTAAATAAACT